CTAAGTCTTCGACACGGTCTGCTTCGTGCTCGTTTACGTCGTCGTCGTCGTCGTCGTCGTCGTCGTCGTCTTCTTCTTCTTCTTCCTCCTCTTCCTCCTCTTCTTCTCCTTCGCCTTCGCCTTCGCCTTCGCCTTCCTCTTCTTCGGCCTCGGCTTCCTCTGTCTCGTCCTCGTCTACTCCCTCTTCGGTCTCTTCTGTGTCGGCTGCTGCTGCTGTTGCTGCTGCTGCCGCGCTGTTCGTAGCGGTTGTCGTTGTCGCCGCCGTCGCCGCTGCTGCTGAGGCTACGCCATCGCTATCACGCTTCACCCTCTTCGCTTGTCGAGTCGTTTCCTCCTCCTCCTCATCGTCGTCGCCGTGCACATTACTACTACCCGCTGCTCCCTTCGCGGTCTCCGTCTCTCCTGCGGATTTTGCGGCGGCTGCAGCCTTTTTCTCCTTCGAGGCGCGCTTCTTCCCCGCCGCTGCCTCCGTGTGTGCTTCCAGCTCGCGCTCCAGTCGCGGTCGGAAGAAGTCGAATTCGAGTTCGGTGAGGGCGGAGAAGACGTCGGACGGCGCGATGGTGCGTTTGAGCGTGGCTTCGTTGGCGCTGTATGCAGAGACCAGTAGATTAGCCAGGCAATTCTTATGATTTATTACCGATAATAAGTGTTGAGTAGAGCTGTAACTTAGCTGCCAGGGCAGGTAGGGCAAGGGGCGGGGATTGCATACTGCGACGCAACATACGACACAAAGACCGTCGCGGCCTTTTGAATCGCGAGGAGTGCGTCTTTCTGGATAGTCGTGTTGGGCGGCAGCACGCTCTTGGCCAGACGCTGCGTGAGGGCTCGAGGGAGCAGGTAGTCCTGGAAGAAAGCACAGGCAAGAGTTAGAAAAGCTGCCAGCATAAATAAAGACACGGGTTCTCGTTTCGAGAGAGGAAGCACACATCCACGCTCACGCCGCCATCAGCCTGCGCCTTCAGCTGCTGCTCAGTTGTCTGTATCGTCGTCGTTGTCGTCGCATCTTCCGCGTCCGCAGACGAAGTGGATTTTTTGGGTGGCATTATTGCAGAAGATCCTGGGATGTCTTCCGACGGAGCAAAAACAGGTGTGGGTGTGGAAAGCCGATCAATTCGCGATAGGTAGGAAAGGTTTTAGGTAGCCTTGTTGTATGTAGAGGCAGACGGTGATCACGATTCGCACGATTTGTCGCGGTCAATGATAATCAATCAATCATCGTTCAAGCAAAAACCCCGTAAGATATCCGATCCGGCTGTTTGTTGGAAGTTACAGTTCGCGTGGAAATCCTCGCTGTGTACACGGGATGGGATCGACGGTCACTGCAGCGTCCTTTTTTTTTCTTCGACCAGAGGACTGTCTAATTTGTCGAGTGTTAATTAATTGGACGGGGAGGACAATTAATCTGCGCAGATACTTATTGTCGTACCTTTTCAGAAAAAAAAGACGAGACAAAATGAAATGAGCAATCGACGAGACAATGACTGAATCGCTTCTCGTGTCTATCAATCAATTCACCCGGAAATAACTAAAGAGAGGCGGAGTTTCTGATATCAAGAGGATACAGGAATGAATAGGATGGATACCGATTATGATGTCTGTCTATCTCTTGGGGCCACGGGCATGACGCGACACTTTGCCCGCTTTGGCTCAGTATTGCGCGGAACACGCGACGGTTAGCGTATTGTTGATCGTATTGATGCCCCAGGTTTAGACGTCAGAGTATGATGTACCTACTCCGAAGTAATGTAGTGCATTATTTTCAGCATGTTTTGTTTACATATGTATACTTTGATTGCCTTCGGTTATTCGTTTCTTGGTAGGTGCTTTTTTTTGGACTTCTTGATAAAGTTGTGTTTTTTTGGTCTACTTGTTAACAGCGAGTCACTGAAGAAATATATATACTCTTTGCACCTTGTGGATCACAACCTGCCAACATTGCTACTTTATGATTTCGCATCTTTGCACACAAAGCGAACAGACATGGATATATCACTAGCCCAAGATTAAATATATTAAAAATATCCATAGCAATACCGATATCCGTGTCTGCAATAACAACTCCATGCTCCAGCTTAGGGTGAGCATATCAACAACCCCAACGGATCGATTGATCAACACCGGATACTCATTTTCATGCTCGCTGAAGCCTTGGCTCGAAATCAATACTGGACCAGATATAACAACGCAAAAGTAAAATTATCCTCATAAATCTACATCCCATGTTATAAACGCCGTAGACACCACATGGTCGTACCCGCTCGGTCGTGGAGATAGCACGCGCTCGAGTCGAGAAAGGATCAACATAAAAATAGCCCCGTGGCTATTGGCATGGCAGAAACTGTGTGGGAGATAGCCCGATACTGCACCACACAGCACCACACCAAGGGCGCTCGCTTTCAAGAGGCGCCCAGCGGGGACGACATAAAAAAATAGTAATTGAGACCCAAAGTCGCCCAAGCCAGTCCATGCCCTATCTGTTGTACACCGACCCCTGAAACGCCACCAATGCAAACCACAGCATTAATCTATCTTGGTATCGTTGCGAGTCTCCTCTGCAGGAAACCGGATCTTGGGTGGAGGCCAGGATCTCGATAGCGAGAAGAAAGAGGACCAGATGGAATGAAATGTAAAGAGTCATTAAGCAAGCCAAAGCACAATAATAGTCGACATAACACTATGAGGAAGGTTCGCAAAGCAAATCACTCATGCCTTTGGGAGCCCGAGGCGGAGATATGGTCTCTTGATTACGCCAGAGCTCTCCGCATACGGAGACGGAATCTTGCTTCGTAACAAGATTGGGAAAGATGACGCCGTTGTTGCGCGCAGCACCAGGAGGAAGCGGATGCATCGGTTTGGAGCCATCGTCCTTGTCCGACTTTGACGCCTTCTCGCCTCCAGCAGCGGTTTTGGGCCCCTTGGTAACTTTGCTGAACGTTGTAATTTTGGCTGACTGCTCCTTGACGCCCCGAGCTTTCTTGGGGGCTCTGGGTGCTCTCTGCGCCCCCTTCTTGGGACCTGGTTTCCTGGAATTGTCTGTTTTGCTGGCTGCGAATATTTCTTTGAGACTCGTCCCCTTACTTGCGGGATTAGGAAGCGGCTCTTTAGGCTGCTTGTCCGATCCCTCCTCGTCGTGGCTCGAAGAAGGCGTCAGGATGCCCGTGTTGGTCGTCTTCTGTTCCTTCTTCGGTGTCTGCACCACGACAGAAATAGGACCATGCTCCTTCTTGACACGCTCCACCTCGGAGGAATTGCACTCGTCGAAGACATCCGGAGAGTTGTCATCCCACCTCTTCAAGCCCACTAGCCGGGCTACTTCCTCACAATCCCCCTGGACCATCAGATCCCAGCAATTCTCAAACTCCTTGCCGACCGGTGGCTCATTGTTAATCCACATGGTGATCCCATTCCGCCGACTCCGGACGACTTTGCACAAGTTCTTCACCAGACGACGCACACCTGGAATCTTCAGACTGGTTCCGACGACCACCAGGGCGTCCGGACGGGATCGAATATCGGCATTCATGACTGATGCGATCGCTTCTTCATCGGGATTGTGTTCATTGTAGAGGACAATGCGCGGGCGCATCTTGCCAACGCCGTGACTGCGCTGACCAGTGGTCGTGCGAACTGCGTCTGTTTCGGAGCAGGCCGGGCACAGTGGAGCGTCGGGCCCATTAAACAATTCCCGTCGAAAGTCTGCTAGATGACGGCATTTTTGGCAGACCATCTTGTCGAGACTGCCATGCAGCTGGATCGTGCGTGGCCACGGGGCTTTGGGGTTCAGGGGGACCTGAGTCGCCAGCGGCGGCATGGAGGTTTCGATGCAATCGATGTTCTGCGTGTAGAGGCGGACCAGACGGTTGTCTTGGGCCATCCTGGCCAGCATGTGATGAAAAGCCGTGGGAGATGAGCGCGCCGCCTCCTCGGAGAGAGTGCGCACCATTTCGTGGAAGGAAGCGGTCAGCGATTCATCGCGGTACACAGCTGCGTCGAAGAGCAGCTTGCCCGACGACTTGAGGTTGTGCTTCTTCTGCACGGACTTGAAGAGGCCATTGGACGATCGAAAATCGGGAACTACAATTCATGCGAATTAGACCAACGACCGGGAAGACAGGGACATGTGCCAATGGGTTTAACTAAGAAAGGGAAAAGAAGAGTGGGTGGACTCACTGCCGGCGGAAGTCGAGATACCGGCGCCTGCAATGACGACGATCTTACGGCGGGTGCGGAGAGTTTTGACGAGGAGGTCGATCTGCGCCTGTTGGCGGGCATAGGACTGCTCTGAGGTGTCGGAGAGATCGAGATGCTGCGTTGAGCGCGGCGTCGGGCCCACTCGGCGTTTCTTCCTGGCTGGCTCTTGGCCGCCCGCGCCGCTCGCAGCTCGGGCGCGCGACTTGGGGCCGGCGGCCTGCGTGCCCTCCTGGTCCTTCGAAGGCGGCGGCGAGGGATAGAATCCAGGAGGCGTCTGAGGAGACGCAGGAGGAGAACTCAGATCTGAGAGGTCAGACGAGTCTGACACGTAGCTGCAGTCTGACGACTCGGGCTCCATGGCCGGAGTGGGAAGACTGACAGGGTCGGCCATGGTGGAATTGGAGAGAAAGGAGGAAGAAAAGCTGACCTGGAAGCGACAAGGTGTTCGCCTCCCTCGTTGACGAATGGGATTGTAGCAAGCGAACAGGAGGCTTTAAGAGAACATCGAAAAGGACCCAGTAGGCGGAAATCGAGAAAAAAGAGGCCCACGTTGCGGCTGGCGGAGGTTGGAGATGAAGAGAAGGTAGGAGCTAGGAAGGGGATGGAGAAGGAAAAGAAGGGCAGCCGAATTGGGAGGTGTTTGGCAGCGTTGTTTGACGGGCGGTCCCCAGGAGTAGTGTAATAATTTGGTTTAGGTCTGAGAGGACCACACGAGGTGACGGTTGACGGGGGTGGAAAAGTCTGAGCGACGGGACCGTCTTCTGTTTATTTTGACCCGCTGACGGAGGAGTCGGACCCAAGAGGCGCCAGCAGACGGGATCAGCTGGGGCAAGGCATGGAGGATCCTGACGATGGGTGTGACGGCGAGATCCAGAGGTCCAGAACCGGGACGACAACTGGAACGCTGCGTTGCCCAAAGAGGCCTGGAATCTGGCAGCAAGGATGCGTGATCTACCCTACTTTGCCTACATATGTGCTGCTGTAGACTGTACCAGGGAGATTACAATCAATTCAGGACGGGAGTGGGTGAATAGAACAGAGATAGCACCTCCGCATTGTTATACTAACTAGCGTTGAGCAGCGTGAGTGAGTTGCAGAATCCACGTTTTTCATTGGGGGTTGGAGTGATTCCAAGAGGGACAAATGCAACGGCCTAAGCTCCTGGTAAATGACTGCAACCTGCAAAACCGGCCAGCACGCCGACAACAGCAACAGAGGCAGCTGTCCATCTGCAAGGACAATCATGACGTATAGCAGCAAGAATAGGGAAGAGTGCAATGGCCTCTTCGCCTGCCTGGTTGCAGAGGGAAAGAGAATGCGACCGTCACCCATGGCTTGCAAGCTATTGATTTGCTGCGGTCTGATATTAAATATTCTTTGCATTGTCTTTTTCCGGTTGGCGGGGATACGGCGCTTGCATCACGTGGCGATTGCTGACTCAGCAGTCTCGTGACTTCCCATCTGGGCATAGTCTCAGATCCGCGATCAGTAGAACACATGATCTCCATCGACGACCCCCGGGAACCAGGCGATCAGCGACATGAGTAGCATGCGCGATATAGATGAAGACGAGGGCGTCGTGACATGAGTTTTTGATTTTGATATTGACTCTTGGTTTTTCTGTTTGATGTATTGATCTCTGTTCATGTTCCTTCTGTTTGGTGAATTTGTTTGACGGCTCGGTTTATATACGTTGAACATCGTGTTTGGACCTCTTAGTTTGTTCTATTCCTTTGCACATTTGTGACCGTTGCTATTACCATACTGCCGCCCAGGATTATGATTGGTGGGACTGGATTCCTTCCGCTCAAGGCANAC